TATCCAAGCAACACTCTGCTCACCATCCTTTCTGAGCCCTTTGAGCTAATGTATAGCTGACCATTTCTGCTGAACCATAACCTATCCACTGAGCCCCATCTTTAAGTATCATGTTTTTCTTATCTCTCCCTCCTCAATTAGTCCAGGAACACTCAGACCACTGCATACCCAGACTCTCACCTAAAAGTCTAGATCACTTGGCATATTTGGAACTTCAGTGCATTACAGCTGCAGAGTCCAGACTTAGACCCCAACAAAGCTTTGCCTGAGAACATATTTCCCCATCTTCTTATTTAATACCTTACAACCCTGCTTGCTGAAACTGAGGAGGACCTAAAGCATTTGCTGCAGAATGTCAAGGACTACAGCCTTCAATATATATTGAAGCTCAACATTAAGAAAACAAAGATTCTCACCACTGGGCCAATTGGCAGCATCATGATCTATCATGATGGTGAAGAGATTGAGATTGTTGACTACTTCAGTTTGATTGGCTGTACAGTCAACACTCTTGGTACCAGCAGCCAAGAAAAATTGCACTGGGAAAGTACTGAATAGGTGCTCTTGATACAGGCCATGGTCTTTGCCATTACTTGCTATGCCTCAGAGAGCTGGACAGTGACTAGGGATGATAGATGGAGAGTTGATGCCTTTGAGCTGTGGTGCTAGAGAAGGGTATTGAATATACCATGGACTGCTAGGAGAACAAACACATTTGTTCGGGAGAGGGTGAAGCCAGGCTGCTCCGTGGAGGCAGGGATTCTGAAGCGTTGTCTGACATACTTTGGGCATGTTGCAAAGCAGGATCAGTCCTTGGAGAGGGATGTCATGCTTGGGAGGGTAGAGGGACAGCGCAGGAGAGGAAGACCCCCAATGATATGGATTGAGTCAGTCACTGCGGTAATGGGGATAGGTATGTCGGAGACAGTAAGATTGGCAAGGGATAGAGCAAGGTTTAGGGCTCTTGTACATAGGGTCGCTGTGAGTTGCAGATGACTGGACAGCAACTAACAACATATTGCAAAAAGTATCCATGCCTTTGAACAGTAGTGTTACAGAAGAGCACCCAATAGCCCATAGACTGCCAAAAGAACAAGCAAGTCTGTCTTGGAGTGAAATCAACGTGTGCTTCTCAGTGACAAGGATGATAAACCCTCATTTAAGGTACTTTGGTCACATTATCAAGAGGGACTAACTGTTGGAAAAAGGCATCATTCTGTAAAAGATAGAAGGTCAAAGAAAGAAATCTTTAACAAGATGGATTAACAAAGTGACTGTTACGATAGATTCGAACAAATGGGAGATCAGAAGGATGGTGCAAAATAGGGCACGGTTCATATCTTTTTATAATATCATTGAATTGTACTTGGCTTGACGGCATCTAACAGCATATCTGAAGAGAGATTGACTCAAGAACATAGTACGTTAATTCTGTTTTATTTACATAGCAAAGAAAACCCATTCCCAGATACAATTATAACCACTAGCATAGATGACGCCGACCACATAATACTTGTAAACAATTGGCTAAGACACATATTTGGAAAAGAAAGAAGGCAAAATTCATTTCTTGACATCTTCATTAATTGCTGTTGAATCGGAACTGACTTCATTGCTGACCCTCCAGTGGGCTTTCAGAGGCTGTAAATCACATAGGAAGAGATTGCTCACCTTTGTCCTGTGGAGCAGCTGGTAGCTTTGGGGCTGGCAGTACAGCTTCTTACCCACTGTTGTTATGTGCCTTTGAGTCAAGTATGACTTATAACAAAGGTCTGCCTGATACAGGCCATGGTTTTTGCAATCACTTGTTATGCATCGGAAAGTTGGACAGTGACTAGGGAGGACAGAAGGAGAATTGATGCCTTTGAGCTGTGGTGCTGGAGAACAGTATTGAATGTACCATGGACTGCCAAGAAAACAAACAGATTCATCCTGGAGAGGGTTAAACCAGGCTACTCCTTGGAGGCAAGGATTCTGGGGCTTTGTCTGACATACTTTGGACATGTTGTAAGGAGAGACAGGTCCTTGGAGAGGGTCATCATGCTTGGTAGGGTGGAGGGACAGCGCAGGAGGGGAAGACCCTCTATGAGGTGGATTGAGTCAGTGACTGGGGTAATCGGGATGGGTGTGTCAGAGGCAGTGCAATTGGCACAGGATAGAGCAGGGCTTAGGGCTGTTGTACATAGGGTTGCTATGAGTCACAAACGACTCGACGGCACATAACAACAACAATGAACATCAGATCTGAACCCTGCCCTATCCTGTGCCATACTTATAATTTCCAACTCAGTCTATTGCTAGAGTCACTGTGTCTGAACCCTGCCCTATCCTGTGCCATACTTATAATTTCCAACTCAGTCTATTGCTAGAGTCACTGTGTCAGTCCATTTTGTTAGAATCTTCCTCTCTTACACTGACCTTTCAAGCATAATACCCTTTTTCAAGGACTGGCCCCACCTACAAACATGCCCTAAGTATACAGGTGAAGTTTCAGCCTCCTTAATTCCAAGGAGCACTGGTTCACTTTATCTAAGCGACTTGCTTGTTCTTGACAGTCCATGAAATATTCAGTACTCTTCTCCAACACTATAACCTAAAGGCATCAATGATTCTTCTGTCTCTTTAGTCATCATCCAACTTTCAGATGCGTAGGAAGCAATTGAGCATGGATTGGCTCAGGGAATTGTTAGTTTTTAAGCTGACATCATTACTCTTTAGTACTCTGGAAAGGTCTCTGACATTAAATTTTCCCAGTGCAACTCTTCTTTAGGTTTCTTGACAGCCAGTACCAAGGGTGTTGTTAATTGTGGATCCAGGCAAGATTAAATCATTGATGGCTTTAATCTCTTTTCCATCTTTCATAATGTTCCTATTGGCCCAGTGATAAGGACTTTTCTTGAATGCTGAAGGATACTGTGAGAAGAATCAAAAAAGATGGAATGAATAGATAGAGTCACCGAGTCAATGAAAGCATTGGCAAAAAAAAGTCTTAAGGAATTGATGGGTACCAATTGATAAAATACAAGAAATGCTACCCTGGACATGCTCATTTGAAGACAGTAACTGACTGGAACAGATGCATGCTTATTCCTGTTCCCAAAAAAGATTATCCAACAGAATGTGGAATTTATCAATATCATTAATATAAGCAAACTTATGGTGAAGATTATTAATAAACTGCTAGAGAGTACATAAAGAACTGCCAGAAATTCAGGCAGGATTTAGAAGTGGCCATGGGATGATATCAGGGATATCATTGCTAATAGCAGGTATATCTTGACAGAAAGCATAAAATATCAGAAGGTTATTTGTGTTTTATTGACTATGCAAAGGCATTTAGCTGTTTGAATCATAATAAATTGTGGCTAGCAGAGAAAAATGAGATTCCCCGAATACTTAACTGGGCTCATGTGAGATCTTTTAACTAGATCAAGAGGCTCAACAGAGCAAGGAAACACTGTATGTTTTAAAGAAAAGAGTGCATCAGAGCTATATCCTTTCTCCATACCTATTCAGTCAATATACTGAACCAATAATTTGTGAAGCTCGTCTCTATGAAAAAGAATTTGGCATCAGGATCAGAGGAAGACTCATCAACAATGTATATTATGCTGCTGACAGAATTACGCTGGCTCAGAATAAAGACTTGAAGCATTTGCTGCAGAAGATCAAAGACTACAGGCTTCAATGTGAATTACACCTTATCCATTATGCTTCTCAAAAGGTGGTCTTGATTGTAATATGGTGCAAGCACTCTGGAAGGAATTTTGCTGGTTCCTCAAAAAAATTGAACATAGAAATACATTCCATATGACCTAGCTATTCGACTGCTTGAAATATATCCTGAAAAAATGAGAACTGAGATACACGCAAAACTTTTACACCAGAGTTAATACTAGTCTTATTCACCATAACAAGAATACGTCCAAATTTCCAACAACAATGGAATGCATCCAGAAATTATGGTACAGTTACAAAATGGAATACTATGTAGCACACAGGAGCAATGATTGTGTAAATTACTACCTAACTTGGAAGGGACTGGAGATCATGATGCTAAATCGACTAACTCAGTATCACAAAAACAAATGCTGTATTAAAACCATTACTGTAGAATATGAGGATCCAAAGAGGGGAGGGAGGAGCAGAAGGGTGAGGATGGGCAAGGGATGCCTTTGGGGGGGGGGGGATTGATCATAGAGTCGCACAATTTGATAGATGCACAGAGGGGTGGGTAAAAGAAAGAGAAGATCTGGTGTGAAAAACAATATATATGAACATTGTAAGTAAATCAGTATAAAATAAAAAAAAATTGGTCTGTCTTATGAAAGATGAAAAAGTGTAAAGTGAAGAAACAATTGTATTTCATTCATACAGATTTTTGGTATTTCTAGACCCTCAAAAAAATAATCTCCCAAATCATAAGATTTTTTTTCTTTCCAAATCATAAGATTTAAAACCTAAAATAACACTAACATAATATTTACAGATGTAGTTCAATGCTGTGACAGCTTGATGCTTAGATAACTTGAGTTTGGTTCCTGAGGAAGGAGCTTGGTGATGCTATATTAGTGTACATGTTGCCTCTTTAATGGCTTACTGCAAAATGTACACCAGTTTTGCTTTTTGCCTTTCTTCGTGAAGGTGAAAACTCTTTATTAAGTTCAGTTAAATAAAAATAGGCAGTAATGCACGTATTTCATAAAAGCAGAATAGCAAAAAGTGAACTTTCAAAAAGCAGTTAATACTGCACTGTTACCTGTATGTGAAGATTGTGTCTTTTTATGGAAGTGCTTGAAGTGCATGGTGCTTTTTAGAAATCCTGAGAGATCAACTTTATGTGTAAATAGGAGAGAGTTAATATCATTAATGGTGAACAATGTAAAAAATATATTAACAAGTTTCTATTTATCCTCTCTACTTTTTATAGTTTTCTATTGTTAATTTATTAGAACTTAAAATGGTATCTAATAACTTTATTCAAAAACTTTCTCCATCAGGCATGGATGGGCCGATGCCTTTGCAGGTATCAGAAGTTCACACATCAAATATATCTGCCCGCATGCGTAAGTATTTTTAATATTAAGACTCTAAAGTCCAAATCTGAAAAATAATTTTGGTAACTTTAAAGCTTTTGAAAGCTTTTCTTTCTAGGAAGAGCACTTGAACCTAATTTTTTAACCTTTTACATAATCTATGTGAACTCTCACCACTGGACCAATTGGTAGCATCAGGATGGATGGCGAAGAGATTGAGATTGTTCACAGCTTCAGTTTGCTCGGCTCCACGGTCAACATGTTTAGCACCAGCAGCCAGGAAATCAAAAAACATATTGCGATGGGAAAGTCTGCTGTTAGGGACCTCTCCAGGGTACTGAAGAGCAACAGTGTCTCTCTGGAGACTAAGGTGTGCCTGATAAAGGCCATGGTCTTTGCAGTCACATCAGAGAGTTGGAAAATTACTAAGGAGGATAGAAGGAGAATTGATGCCTTTGAATTATGGTGCTGGAGAAGAGTGTTGACTGTACCCTGGACTGCCAGGAAAACAAACAGATTCATCCTGGAGAGGGTTAAACCAGGCTACTCCTTGGAGGCAAGGATTCTGGGGCTTCGTCTTACATACTTTGGACATGTTGTAAGGAGAGACAGGTCCTTGGAGAGGGACATCATGCTTGGTAGGGTGGAGGGACAGCGCAGGAAGGGAAGACCCTCTATGAGGTGGATTGATTCGGTGACTGGCGTAATCGTGATGGGTGTGTCAGAGCCAATGCGATTGGCACAGGCTAGAGCAGGGTTTAGGGCTGTTGTACATAGGGTCGCTATGAGTCGCAAACGACTCGACGGCACGTAACAACAACAATATGAAAATAAAGATTAGTAGAATTTTTTTAAAACTAAATGATTCTTGGTTCAGTTAGAGTTTAATTTTTTTTCTTGTGAAATTTTAAATAATACATTTTTTTAAATCAATTTTATTCCTAGCCAGAAAATTTTTTTTTAAACATACAGATAAAAGTTCTTAAAACATCTATGAAGTGTCTCTGAAGGAAATTTCTTTTTCAGATTCTTTAGATGGTTTTATGTGTTGAAAACACTGCTAAATTGTATGGGTAAGAGGTACATACATATTATAGGGAAAGCATAGGCGTTAGAGTCACATTCCTATATGGATTTGTTTACCAGCCTAGCCCTACCCGGTGAGTTTATTCTGACTTACAGTGACCTTGAGGAACAAAGTGTACCTACTCCAGAACAATTGAGCTACCCCCTTAGGGTCCCCAAAGCTATGAATCTCAATGGAAGCAGACTGCCTCGTCTTTCTCCTTTGGAGTGCCTCGTAGATTTAACCTGCTAACTGTTTGGTTAATAGCAAAAATACCTTAACCACAACAGCACCAGAGTTACTTATTTAGAAGACTCTTGATAAACCATAGCTAAGAAGTTATTGTGTGCTGTCAAAGAAGCAGTAACTTGCATGAGAGGAGATTACCTATCCTCCTAGTGAGCAACTAGTGAATTTGAACAGTGTGCCTTTGTATTTTCAGCTCCTTACCACTAGGCCACCAGAGCTCCATAGCTAAGAAACAGAAAAGAAAAATAGAAACTACATCCTGGAATTGATGCTCTAATGTCTGTACAATAAACTGGCCATGTCTGTGTCTCATTTTGTACAGTTTTTTTGTGTGTGTGGTTTGTTATTTGTGGGTGGTTTTTTTAATTGTGATTTTAGCAAAGTTTACAGAAAAGTTGGATTTTCATTCATTCATTGTTGGGCGTTGCCCACCCTACCCAACCCCGGTGTTCACTTTAAAAAAAAAGTTGTTCATTGTTGCACAATTTTAGAGTTTTGAGAGAGGAGAATGATTTTGATTGGCTAGCCTTAGTCCTCCCCAGCAGTGCTCTGGCTCGGCTTGTATAGGAGGCCTAGAGAGGAGAATTGCAGAAGTGGGTACAGTGAAACGGCTCCAGGGGTTAGTAGGTTAAAATTAGACCTCACTGTTTTGTATGAGCCTCAGTAATGATCAATTTTTAATTGATAAAATTTATTAGATGTTAGTTTGTTACTGTGTTCTAATTTTGCTGGGTTTCTTTCCCGTCTAGGCCAGTTATGCCTGTTACATTAAACATGAACATGACTATGCCTTCTTGGTAAGTGAAAATTTCCTTACTGTTTTTAAAATTTCTTTTCGGTTATAATTTATATGTACATTTACAGAACATCCTGATTTTTCATTTGTTCACTCAGACACTTTCCTTTCATAATAGTAATTACAGCACCTACATGTAATCTCTTTTCCTACTTCCCCCCGTGTAATTATCATTTTCATTAATCCTTCTATCCTTCCCTGTCTTCAGGTCTTTATCCTTGTACAGTTGCTGCTCTCTTGACCCTATCTGGTTATTCTTGGGAATAACTGCTCCAGTGGTCACATGGCTCACTTTATGATGTTGTTAGGTGCCATCAAGTCACTACAACTCATAGCTACCCTATGAACAAATGGGAATCTTGCAGTTTTCTGTGCCATCCTCACTATCTCTGATATGCTCAAACCCATTGTACAATCACTGTATCAGTCTCTCTTGTTGAAGGTCTTCCTTCCTCTTTCTCTGACTCTCTCCCTTTCTCAGCATGATCTCTTTTTTGAATGACTGGTCTCGCCTGACCATAAGCCAGAGTATGTGAGCTTAATTTTCACTCTCCTTATCTCTTCAAAGCACCCTGCTTGCATTTTCTGCAAGACACACTTGGTCTTTTGGCAGTCTATGGGATATTCAGTACTCTTCTTCACTGCCACAAAGGCATCAGTTCTTCTGTCATTCATTGTCTAATTTTGAAATGCATAGGAAATGAAAAAAACCATGGCTTGACTCAGGCTCACCTTAGTCTTTAAACTGAATTACTTGCAGTTTTGCTGAAAATTGAAACATTTCTTTTTGCCTTCAGAACTTTTAATTGATATTATTTATTTATTAGAAGTACTGTGTCTTCTACTGGAGTTAAACCAGTGAAGCTAAGAATATATAAATTGCTAAGAAGTTGTTATGTTATATGCCATCTGTCTGAACCAACTCATAGCTGACCTTGCATTGGCTTTCAGAAAGTGTAAATCACATGGGAGGAGACTGCCCATATTTCTCCTCAGTGCTGCTGGTGGATTCAGACTGCCAGAAAGCAGTGCAGCTCTCTACAGAGTACTCCCCCATAGTTCCTGAAGCATATTTAGATATGTACAGAGAGAAGTTTACTCCACGGGAATAACTCATGATGTTGTAGGATCAAACAACAGGCTAATGACTCCAGCTGTCATAAATGGTTGTTGGGGCTGATGAATCAAAAAATCTGTCAGGTGTCAGGCTGGAGGCTTCTGCAGGCTTATTGTCCCCAGGCCAGTTGATGATAGGAGTGCTGATTGAGAGATGAGCTTTACCAGAACATCCATTTATATACTGGAATGAGGCCATACCCCCCAGAAAACGCTTCTTTCATCTGATTCACTGACTTACATTAGGGCACAAAAAGGAAGATTGTTAACTACCACACTTCCTGGGTATCTGTTTGTTGTACTGTGGTGACTTGTATGTTGTGATGCTTGAAATTGTGTCACCAGCATTTCAAATATCAGGAGTGTCACAGCAATAGATTAAACTCAGCAGGGGTTCTAGACTGAGACAAAGAGAAAAGTTTTGCATCTGCTTCTGAAAATTAGCCAAGGAAATCCTGTGGCTCACACTGTTACGGTGCTGGAAGATGATCTCCATAAGATGGAAGGCACTCACAGTGCAGTAGCCACTAGAGTGACCTGAAGCGTCCAGATGGTGGAGAAGTTGGTACAGGCACAGGTACCACTTCAGTCATTTGTATGTGAGTTTGCCATGTGTTGGAACCTGCTTGATGGTTGCTAACCAGAGCATCAGTAACAGCATTATAATAAAACCTTTCAGAAGCAGATTTTCTTAGAATGACTTGATTCTTTTAAGATTTTGCCTTATTTTTCAGGTTCGATATTATTGGGCTTTCACCAGATTCACAGGAAGATGAACATGGAATCAAGCAAGCAGCAGAAAATGGTAAGTCTAGAAACATTTGATAACCAACAAAATATTTCTCTGTGTTTTAGTAGTTTTAGAAGTTAGACAGTGATTAAAAATTAGAATGTATTTTCATTCCCTCATTTTTATATTAATATACTTCATGTTCTATTATTTTTCTTATTACTGATTTTAAGTTGTACTAATCACTTAATTTTAAAAGTATTGGTAATTAAATTTTACTTTGTTTTTAGTCAAAGCATTGATAGATCAAGAAGTGAAAAATGGAATTCCATCGAACAGAATTATTTTGGGAGGATTTTCTCAGGTAAGATGACATTTGAGTGATATGTCGGTACCATCAGTATATCAATACCCTATAATCTATAATTTCAGCCCTTTCACTAAATTGATGTATGTTTTGGAGACACTAAAGACTCTTGATACAATTTTGTTTGCTAAAACTGCAGAGGACCTGAAGCACTTGCTGCATAAGGTCAAGGGCTATAGTCTTCCGTATAGATTAAAGCTCAACATCTCACCACTGAGCCAAATGGCAGTGCCATGATAGATGGAGAAGAGATTGAAGTTGTTTTACAGCTTGCTCAGCTCTACAAACCACACTCTTGACACCAGCAGTCAGGAAATCAAAAGACAAATTATACTGGGAAAATCTGTGGTCAAGGACCTCTTTAGAGTACTAAGCGGCAAAAACGTCAGTCTAGAGACTAAGATGCACCTGACTCAGGTCATGATCTTTGCTATTACTTGCTGTGCATCAGAGAGCTGCACAGTGGCTAAGGATGACAGAAGAATCAATGCCTTTGATTGTGGTGCTGGAAAAGAGTATTGAACATAATATCATGGATCACCAAAAGAACAAACGGGTCGGTCTTGGAAAGGGTTAAATCAAATTTCTCCTTGGAGGATGGGATTTTGAAGCTCTGTCTCACATACTTTGGGTATGTGGTCAGGAGTGACTGGTCCTTGGAGAAGGACATCATGCTTGGAAGGGTGAAGGAACCGCACAAGAGAAGACTCCAGGTAAGATGGATTGCCAGTAACTGGGGTAGTAGGGGTAGGTCTGTTGGATTCAGAGAGACTGGCTCAGGACAGGTCAGGGTTCAGAACTGTCAATTGCAGGCACATAACAACAGACTTTTGACTGATAGGCTCACTTTCAATGCTCGTGGTGCAGTGGTTAAGCACTTGATTGTTAACTGAAAAGTTGTCATAGCCTGGCTTAGTGATCTAGAACTGCTTTAATGGAGATACTATAAGTAGATGGTTTTTATGAATAGACATTTATTACCGCATAATATAGGAGAATAGAACTCTAAATCAGGGTGCTAGCTGTAGAAAAAGACTCTTTCCCTGTCAGTTTTCAAGGAAACTTCTTGTTGCCTTCAGCATCTATAGGCTTCGTGGTCCCTGGAGAGCTTCATGTGTCTTTGCCTTCCTCAGTATCAAGGAACTTCCATTGTCAAAAACTATTGAAAATCGCCTTTTTTTTTACTCCCTTTCCTTCCTTTTTGTCTGTAATGAGATATAAGGTATTATAAGCCACACACTAGAGAAATTCCTTTTAGATTAGATTAGGGTTGTGATGGGATTAAGGGGTGTTGCATTCTACCATTCGGACTCTACAACTATTTGGTTTATCAGATTTTAGGAGGTCTTTTACATAGCTTCCATGTTATATCATTACAGTCTTTTTTTTTTATCATTACATTCTTATATTTGGGAAACAGTTCAATCCATGAAAAACCTCCAGGAGAAAAGCCTGGTGATCTATTCCTGTGAAGATTATTGATGTGTTATTAGGGACCGTTGTGTCAGTGCCAGGTCACAGCCCACCTGTGTTGAGCTGAACTGGACACTCCTAATGGTGTGCCATCTTCACATTGATTGCTGTTTGAGCCCATGGTTGCAGCCATTACACAAATCCATCTTGTTGAATATCTTCCTGTTTTTTGCTGACCCTTCACTTACCAAGGATGTTTTTCTTCAGTGACTGGTCCCTTCTGATAATATGTCTAGAACCTGTGAGGTAAATCACTGGGAGTTTTTTTTTGTTTTTTTTTTTCTTCTTTTTTTAAAATATTTTTTATTGGTTTTCATATAATTCCTTTACATTGTGTTTCATTCTTATACATTGTTTTTTTTAACATAAATCACTTTTTTAAAGAGATCTTTGCTAGCAGATTTGCCTCATGAAGTACCTATTTTGATTTCTTGACTGCCCTGATGGTCCCGTGGTAGGGAGATGCACTACCAGCTCAGAGATGCAAGATTTGAACCCACCAACTATTCGGCAAGAGAAAAATAGGCATTCTCCCATGGAACCTGCTGGAGGGTCATCTATGAATCACTTCCATTTTTCTAGCAATGAGATAGATAGTGATGCTTCCTTAGGTGTTGATTGTGAATCCACATAAATTTAAATTCTTGATAACTTTTATGAAGGTTATAGCATTGGAAAACTCTCTGGGATAATTGTACTCTGCCCTATAAAGTTGCTGTGAGTTAGAATCAACTTGACAAACCACATCAATACGGAATTATGGTTCAATGGATAAAATAATTCCTACAGCATGCACTCTTCTTGTTCTAGGTTTTTCTTAATTCATTTTACAGATTGCCTTTTCAAATCTTCTTAAGTAAATGGATTGGAACTTGAGGTACATATTTTCAAATAACTCTAGTAAGTTTGCTTAATTCACTAATATGTGTCTCTCTAACTAAACAGAACTCTAATGACTCAAACATTAATACTTTTCCAAAGAGAAAAGATTACTGAGAGGATCATTAAAGTCTAAAATGAGAGAATATCTTTTTTAAGGAGTAGGAAATAGTGTGAAGTTTAGTTTTTTACACCTTCCTTCCTCTCTCTGTATACTGTTAATACACTTTCTACTTTCTCTCCATCGTCAACATAGTGTCTCATAGTGCTCCTTAGCTTGTCACCTGCTAGACACTTCATTGCCCAGATTGCCCTGGCCTCTAATATACATATTTTCTAAATCAGCAATTTAGCATGCAGTATCTTAATTAGAGAAAGAAGATACCATTTAATTAAAAGATAGGCTATTGATTTGATTTCACAGTGGACATATACATTGCAACATAAACAAGTATAAAAAAATGATGCTTTGTTCAAAATATAAAGTGTCTTTTTCTGATCATTGATTATCGTTAAGATAAATGAACCTGTAATAACTTCAGCAGTAGAGGAGATGATACATGAAACGTGGCTTCATCTACCCTGAGACTAGAAGAACTAGATTATGCTCAGCTACGTCTATCAGCTATCCTATCTAGGGCCACAATAGAATGAGTGTGATAAAATGCAAGGGGAAAAGTGATATAGAAACCTAAATTGCTTAAAATAAGAAAGAACTAAAACAGGCATACTATGTGGGTTGAGACTGGAAGACTCTCTCAGACAGTTGCCCTGAGGTACTCTTCAAAATTAAAATAAAAACTAACCCCTGAGGTCTCCTTGTAGCTAAATAACAAATTATTTTTTTAAAAAAATGACAGTTGCTCCCTGGAGAATAAGCAAGGGCTTGTGGGGCTGTATGCTCTTGCATGCAGAAGCTTCTCTTTGAGTGTGTCTGGATTGTTCTGTGTATGGGTCATCCTCCCATCCTCTAAAGTATTGATCATTGGGACAAGAAGAGAACCCTTTTTCGGCGTAGATGACAGCATTGGCATCCTGGGTAGCTTTGTAAAGCACCCTAAGGAATTGATAAAGAGCCTCATAAGGCTTTGAGGTTGGAAGGGAAATGAATCACAACATTGTAACAGAATAAAATGGTTGGGAATTGGATGTTCACCAGTGACCTGCACAACCTTAACAAATGTATCAGCTATCTTTACAAACACTTTAATAGGCATGGAAAGCACAGATAGAAGAAAAGATCCAACAGCGATGGAGCTATCTTCCTGAAAAGGCAAAGAGTACATTTCTTTATGAGGAAAGGGCCTTGAATATTTTCTGTAATAAAATTGGGGTTGTTTTTTTTTTAAATCGTAGAAGAAAAAAATGGCAGTATTTTTTATAAATACTGTGTTCCTTTAGAATTCATTTTTATGAAACCAAATTATCAATTATTTAAAACATACTATGAGACGCTAAAGGATCAGGGAAAGGTAATAACAGTGGAGCGATCAGAGTAAAATGCTTGACTTTTTTTAATTGAGATTTTAATGAAAGTTTATAGAGAATTTGGATTTCTATTCATTCATTGTTGCACATTTTCCTCCCTCCCATCTACTCCCCCTCATTCACTTTTCTCTTGGGAAAAAAACCCTCTTTCACTTATGTACAATTCCCCGACCCCAATCCACTTTACTGTGCAGCTCTTATTCTGGATTGTTGTCTTACATATAATTGTTGTTGTTGTTGTTATGTGCCATCGAGTCGTTTGTGACTCATAGCGACCCTATGTACAACAGCCCTAAACCGTGCTCTATCCTGTGCCAATCTCATTGCCTCTGACACACCCATCCCAATTACCCCAGTCACTGAATCAATCCACCTCATAGAGGGTCTTCCCCTCCTGCACTGTCCCTCTACTCTACCCAGCATGAGGTCCCTCTCTAAAGACCTGTCTCTCTTTACAACATGTCCCAAGTATGTCAGACGAAGCTCCAGAATCCTTGCCTCCATGGAGCAGCCTGGTTTAACCCTCTCCAGGATGAATCTGTTTTCTTGGCAGTCCATGGTACATTCAATACTCTTCTGCAGCACCACAGCTCAAAGGCGTCAATTCTCCTTCTGTCCTCACTAGTCATTGTCCAACTCTCTGATGCATAACAAGTGATTGCAAAAACCATGGCCTGTATCAGGCGCACTTTAGTCTCCAGAGAGACACCGCTGCTCTTGAGTACTTTTAAAGAGGTCCCTAACTGCAGACTTTCCCATCACAATACGTTTTTTGATTTCCTGGCTACTAGTGCCAAGAGTGTTGACCGTGGAGCCGAGCAAACTGAAGCTGTGAACAATCTCAATCTCTTTGCCATCCATCCTGATGCTACCGATTGGTCCAGCGGTGAGAATTTTTGTCTTCTTGACATTGAGCCTCAGTCCATATTGAAGGCTGCAGTCCTTAACCCTCTGCAGTAAGTGCATGAGGTCCTCCTCAGTTTCAGTGAGCAGGATTGTGTCATCTGCATAACGCAGATTGTTGATAGATCATCCACCAATTCTAACGCCACACTTCTCCTCATAGAGTCCAGCCTCTCGGATAATTTGCTCTGCATACAGGTTGTAAAGGTATGGAGACAGGACACATCCCTGGAGTACACCCTTCCCAGTTTTGA